TTCCATTTGCCTGAAAGGTATTTTTCCATCCCTTCACTTTCAGTCTGCGTGGGTCCCTTTTTCTGAGGTGGGTCTCTTGTAGACAGCATATATATGGATTGTGACTTTTTTATCCATTCAGCCACTTGATGTCTTTTGATTGGAGCATTTAGTCCATTTACATTTAAAGTTATTATTGAAAGGTACTTGTTTGTAGCCATTTTTATTTTTTGTGTCTGTGTTCCTTTTTAACTTTTTATTCTTTTTATACCCTTTAGCATTCTTGAATTGGTGGCTTGGGAGTGATAAACTCCCTTAGCCTTTGTTTGTTTGTTTGTTTTGTCTGTGAAGCTTCTTATTTCCCCTTCAATTTTGAATGATAGTCTTGCTGGATAGAGTATTCTTGGATTCAGTCCCTTTGTTTGCATCACTTTGTAAATTTCCTTCTATTCTTTTCTGGTCTGATGTGTTTCTGTTGAGAAATAATTTGATAATCCAATGGGAGCTCCCTTGTATGTAAATTTCTGTCTCTCTTTTTTCATCCTTTAAGATTCTTTGTCCTGAATATTTGCCATTGTAATTATGATGTGTCTTGGTGATGGGTCTTTTTGGGTTCATCCTGTTTGAGACTCTGTGTGTGGTATGTGACTTTTTTCTTCACCACATCAGGGAAGTTTTCTGACATTATTTCTTCAAAAAGTCTTCTAAACTTTGTTTCTCTTCCTGTTGTTCTGGCACCCCTGTTATTCGTATGTTGCATCATTTCATGTTATTCCATAGCTCCCTTAGGCTCTCCTCCTGTCTTTTAATTTTTTTCTCCAATTGCAATTCAGTTTGGCTGTGTTTTGCTTCCGTCTTCTAATTCACTAAGTCGGTCCTCCACTTCTCATAGTCTACTGTTGAAACTTTCCATGGTGTTTTCATTGCAGCTATATCATTCTTCATTTATTCTTGATTCTTACAAAAGATGTTGATTTTTTTTCTTCCATCTGGTTCATGAACTCTATGACCCTTTTTCTGAATTTCTTTTTCTGACATATTGCATGCCTCTCTTTCACTTAGCTGCTTTTCTGGCTTTTCTTTCCTTTGGTGGTATCTTTGTCTACCCATTTTTGGTCTCACTAACTGATCTAGATGTTGAGTCATGCAGGGGCTGTTCCTTGGGTAGCAATGACTTCTCGGCTGTGGTTGCTCCTAGGGTGGTCATGGTAGCAGCTGCTTCTCAGTTGGCAGAAGCTCCTCTAGTGGGTGCTTTTTGCAGCAGTGGTATCTCCTCTGGCTGGTAGGGACAGCTGCTCATATAGCTGCTGTTCCTTGGATGGTGGTGAGCTGATTATGAGGTTACTGCTCCTCGGATGTGGATGGGTTGCTCTCATCCAGTGCTTCTTGGACAGGGGCCAGCTGCTCACATGGCTGCCACTCCTCAGACAAAGATGGACTGCTCACATGGCTGCTTCTCTTTAGTTGGGGGCTGGCTGTGTGCTCCTGCTGCTCCTTGGATTGGGCAAGCTGCTCATGTGGTTGCTGCTCCTCAGACAGGGGAACTGGCCACTCACACAGCTTTGCTCCTTTGACAGGGGCAGGCCACATGAAGCTGCTGCTCTTAGGCCTGGGTCGGGTTGCTCATGGAGCTGCTGCTCCTTGGACAGGAACAGGCTGCTCACATGTCTGCTGTTTACATGGTTGCAGTGCCCTGGCTAAAGCGTTGGGTCAGTCAGAGGAGAGCATGCTTCAGAACTCACAGTAGTCTGCGCCCAGGGTGGCTGGAGCCTCGTTGACCATAGGATCACAGCTTAGGTAGCAGGTCCCTGGCAGGGGTGGCTGTAGAGTCCCAGGTGTTATCTGAGGGAACTCTGGGTGGAGTTGAGCTGGGCACCCAGTTACAGCAGCTCTCCCCTTCAAGAAGGCTAAACCTCTGAGGACAAGCTGGCCTCCCAGTACTGTTTGCAATGGTAGTAGAGGCTGCCTAGTTATGCAAGCCTGATTAGTCTGCCCCTGAAGGTTCCACGGGATCTAACACTGTGCCTCATTCACACACACACACACACACCACCTGACCACACACACTTCTTTTACTCACTCACTCATTCTCATTCCCTCACTGCTGCATTCTTCCTGCCTCTGTAGTTTGGTTTGAGGTGTTATTTACCCATTTGTGGATGGAGTTTCCTCTCCAGGTGTCTGTATATGGCTTGCTCTCAAGCCCCTTGGCCAGACAGGATAAAATTCACCTCAACAAGACACAACACAAAGGGAACTAAACACAAATATACTCATGACACCAATAACTCCATATAAGTGACCACCTGAGAAAAAGAGTTAGGGGAGAGAAAAGACAGCACAAATGATATCAAAGAGAGAGAAAGATAAGAGATAAAAGACAAAGGAAGAAAAAGGAGAATATATATATGAGAGTAGGACACCATAGAATCAATAGATAAACAAACAAACAAACAAACAAAAAATACAAATACCTAACACCCAGCAAAGAGGGTTGGGGCAGAATCTGTAGAGGTTGAGTTTATATACTGAAAATAAGATTAAGAATTGGATAAATATGGGGAGGACCTCAATTTAGTATTGAGGAAGTAGAAAAGGAATAAGCGGATAAGAAGAAAGAGAATGAGAAGAAAATAATAATAATACATTTACAAAAAAAATTGACTTAAAAATGGTATAAAAAATAAAATTTCAAATAAAAAATAGTGATAGAAAAATAATGTGAAAAGAAATAGAAAATAAAGCAACAAAGAAAAACAGGAAAACAAAGAAGAAGAAAAGGGAAAATAAAAATAAAAGTGAAAAAAGTGAAGTTGTTCCTTTGGCTGGCTTATGATCCCAGTGGTTTGAACTATACTGTTTCTCAGTTTCCTGTCACTAGGGCTGAAGATTTCTCTTTAGGCCAGTTCCTGTGACCTCTCAGGGAGTATTCAGATTCCTTTGTCTCATTCAGAGTGGGATCTGGGTGTGGTTGTATTGGTTGCCAGGAGACTGGAAGGAGGGGCCATCTCTCAGGAGAAAATGGCAATCGGGGGGCTCAGATATGACTCAGCACCAGACTGTTCTCTCTCCCCTGATTTCACATGTCCACGTCTCCAGCACCTCAGCTACAGGCAAGTGTCTGTATCTTAAAGGTCCTATGAACTAGGTTCAGTGAAGAAAGGCACAGGCCCCAGAGAGGAGTTTGTTAGTCCCTGCAAACTCCTCTCTTGCTGACACTGAGTGTTCTGGCCAGCCCTTCAGAGATACCTCTGATCTCAGATCCAAAATCCAGAATCCAAGGTCCAAAATCCCCTACCTCCCACAATCTTGTGGACCTTTTTTTTTTTTTTTTTTTTTTTTCACAGTCAGACACTTTGCCTGTCCTCAGGGACACAGTTTGGTGCTGTGTGGTTTCTCCCTAACCCTCTGGACACAGAGGTCCAGCAGACTCTCTTGCCGAGATCCTTGATTTCACCTTTCTCTGGGGGACCTCTGCCCTTCCCAGCTGCAAACTGTCTCACCAGCTGAGTCTCCTCCACCAATTCGGGCTGAATTCCACTCGTTTCAGCCACTCACTCTATTTGCTCCGGGACAAGGTTCAGGACACATCCGTCTATTCTGCCACCATTTTTGTCTCCTTTATCCTTTAATTTCTTTTTAAAAAAATATATTTTGTTGATTTTTTTTACAGAGAGGAAAGGAGAGGGATAGAGAACTAGAAACATCGGCGAGAGAGAAACATCGATCAGCTGCCTCCTGCACACCCCCTACTGGGATGTGCCTGCAAACTAAGGTACATGCCCTTGACCGGAATCGAACCTGGGACCCTTCAGTCCACAGGCTGAAGTTCTATCCACTGAGCCAAACCTGTTTCAACTTAGTCCTTTAATTAAAAAAAAAAAAAAAATCTACTCTCTCCTATTATCTATCTCTTTGTTTTTTGTTCTATATTCTAGAAAATTTTCAGAAAAGTATGTTTCTATTTTTTTCTCCCTATTTGTTTTGATGACTCTCTTTCATGATATTGAATTTACTGAAATGTCTAGGATCTTTGACTATTCATATGATAAACATATGGTGAATGGAAAACAGTCATTAAAAAGAAGGAAATTATTTAAATACAGACTGGACTTGTGATTTTGTTTCATTACAGGGTTATTCTGTGGAGGATACCATTAGTTATCATTGGTTAAGCTTGAAGCCATTAGTTAGGCTTGACTACTTCCCCTAAGATAAATCTGGGAGAGAGGTGCTAGCTGCTTACACTCTGGGAGGTGGACAAGGGGAGAGAGTGAGCGTCTTATCTCTTCAATATGATTTATTTGATTTAGTCACCAATTTCAGTCCCTTACCACACTCTTGTTCTGCTTTGTGCCTAGTTTCCTCCAGGCTCGAGCCTCTCTGACTCAGTTTCTCCAGAGAGTATACCTCCTTCCTCCTACCTGGGCAGTGGTGACCATTCAGGCGTCTTCAAACTACGGCCCTCGGGCCACATGCGGCCCGCAGAGGAGTCTGATCTGGCCCGCCAGGTTTTTTGGGCAGTGAGCGCAGCCGAGGTGTTACAGTAGGAATTAGTAGTTCATATAGTCCGGCCCTCCAGCTCTCTGAGGGACCGTGATCTGGCCCCCACTTTAAAAAGTTTGAGGACCCCTGGTGCAGGGGGTTGATCTTGGGTGGCTGCGCTGTTCCTCTCACCTTTCTGAGGTATCTGGCACCTCCAGTTTCTGGATTGTTCCTCATGTTCTAAAGTATAAATGTGCCTACATTTTATTGCCTGCCCGCCCCCCTCCCCCCCAGCATTACAAAGCTAGATTTCAGATATCTAGGTCCTGCTAGACAGTTACCCCTTTCCACCGGCTTTACATCTTGAAATTTTTTCTTGCCATTTTTTTTTTTTTTTTTTTTTTTTGCTCTCCTTGAGGTTTTATACCTTATTTTTATTCCCTTATTACCATTTTATTGAGGGTTTGGAAAGAGTGTACATAAAGCCATATATTCAATCTTCTAAGTTAAACAGGATCTTTTCTTTTTTCCCACAGTGGATCAAGTCAGCTCTTATTCATCTGAAGATTCAGATAAACTTATCAAGTAAGTTTTTCTTCACACAATTCTATGTCAATTTATTTACTGAAGGGCTGTTTATTAAAACTGTTTACATGATCTCTCATAATTGAATTATTTTTTAACTCAGAAAAGGAAGTAGGTATTTTTCCTCTTACATTTTTTAAAGTTTTCAGGGAGAACATGGAAAATTATTGAATTCTTTCTAGATGATTACATTAACTTTGAAAGGAACTATATGAACTCACCTAGTCTTTTAATTTTGATATTATTGAAAAGAAAAAGCATGTTGTGAACATAACGAGTACAAACCATTATAGTTAGCAGAAATCCAAGTAATTTTGGAGAAGGTAGGTTCTAGAGAAAATGGTGAGGATGAGGGTAGAAGTCACTGTACCTTTTGGGAAACAACCTGACAATGTGGCACAAATTCAGCCTTGAATATCAACAGGTTTATAGGTCAGCGTTCTCCTATCTAGTTCTGCAGGTATATGTTGTTTGGCTTTCTAGTTATATAGATGTAGTCTTTTATCAACAGTAATCAAGTTGTATGCTTAATATCTGTGTTTTACTGCATGCAAATTATACTTTTAAGTTGATCTAAAAATAGTCAACTATCTTTACAACTCTTTTTATAAATCTAGTTATTTTAAAAAAAAATTTGACTAAAGGTATCAAAACTTTTTTCAGTGGGTAGAGAAAATGGGTATACTTCCAAATTTCCAAACTCTAGTTCTAAAATATGAGATCATTGCAAGAAAGACAAATTATAGACTAATATTTCTCAGAAACACAGATACATCAATCTAATAAAAATATTGGCAAATTAAATCCACTGATAGATAAAACATGATACTACATCATGTCCAAGGGGGCTTAATTTTAGGAAAGTCAAGTGGGTTAAAATTTGAAAATCAGTGTAACTCACTCTGTTAACTAAATAAAGGGGATGGGGGGAATTTACAAAATGATCTCAATTAATCCAGAAAATACATTTGATAAAATTTAACACCCATTCATGATAAAAATGCTCAGCAAACTAAGAATGAAAGACAATTTCCTTATCCCAATAAGCTTATACTTAAATATGAAATGTTGGAATGCTTTTTCTTCTGAGTTTAGGAACAAGACAAGTATCCTGTTATCACCACTTCTAGTTAACATCGTACTGGAGTTCCTAGCCAGCACAATGAGGCAAGGAAAAGAAAGACAAGCTCTGAAGTTTGGAAAGAATGAAGTAAATTAATCTTTATTAACAGATAATAGGATTATTTACATAGTAAAATCCAAATGAATATACAAAGCTTGAAAATTAATGAGTGAATTCAGCAACAACCCTAACTACAAGGTGAACATTTAAAAATCAACTATATTTTTGTATACTAGCAACCAACACATAGAAAGTGAAATTTTAAAAACACCACTGCAACAACAAAATTTAACAAAGATGACTAAGACAACTATACTGAAAACTAAAAAATTAAATAAATAAATAAAAATAAAATCTGGGGGAAATTTTTAAAGACCTAAAGAAATAGAGATTTGTAACATTTGCAACTTAGAAAAAGTAAATATTACTATAATGCAAATTCTTCCCATAATTAATCTATGTGTTCAGTTCAATCTAATTCAAAATCTCAGCAGTATTTTTCTGGAAATCAACAAGGTGATTCTCAGCACAATTTACCATAGCTAAGATTTGGAAACAGCCTAAGTGCCCATCAGCAGATGAGTGGATTAAAAAACTGTTACATCTACACAATGGAATACTATGCAGCTATAAAAAGAAAGAACTTTTACCATATGCAACAGCATGAATGGAGCTGGAGAACATTATGCTAAGTGAAATAAGCCAGTCTGAGAAAGATAAATATCACATGATCTCACTCATATGTGGTATATAATGAACAACATAAACTGATGAACAAAAACAGATCCAGAGACTAAGAAACAGACCATCCAACCTCAGTAAAAAGGTCTGTGTGTGTGTGTGTGGGGGGGGGGGGGGGGTGGTGGTGGTGGTAAGAGATCAAACAAAGGACTTGTATGCATGCGTATTAACTTACCAATAACACGGACACTGGGACATTGGGGGCTTGTTGGGGGTGGAAGTGGCAAGGGGGGGGGGGCAGGAGAACAGTCAGGATAAAGGAGACATATGTAATACTTTAAACAACAAAAAAGTGAAAAATAAATAAAATGTATCTAGAAATGCAAAGGATTTAAACTAGCAAGGCAATTGAAGAAGGACAAAGAAGATTGTCATTCCTAGATATCAAGACGTACTAGAAACGTAGTCTGCAAACCGCAGCTCGTGAGCCACACACAGCTCTTTGGCCCCTTGAGTTTTTGGCAAAGGCCAGCTAGGAGTACTCTAATTGAGTTAATAACAATATATGTACCTATATAATTTAAGTTTAAAAAATTTGGCTCTCAAAAGAAATTTCAATCGTCGTACTGTTGATATTTGGCTCTGTTGACTAATGAGTTTGTCGACCACCATACCAGAATGTTAGAATAAATTCCGCTCTGGTTGGGTCTTTTGAGGTCAGGTTTCTATCCCCAAACTTGTCACCATTGTTGGACAGGCCCTGACTTAGATCCAGGGGTGGGGGCAGTTCCATCAGACCAAATGACATATACACAATGGGAGAAGAACAAACTAGTTGTTCAGGAGGCAATCACAATGTCCACTGTGACAGCTTTCCTAGTCATCAAGTTCTATTGGACCGGAACCTTGCTAGGTAAGAGTTTGTCAGCACAGAGAGCAAAGGAGTCTCTGGCTGGAACGGCTTGCACCGACACAGAAATGGGATATTACCGTATGCTCAGGGTCAGCAGGAGGTTCCATGCGATGGTGCCTCTGGGTGTGTGCATGGACGGTGGCAGTAAAGGTTGGAAAAGACTTGATGGTGAAGGGCCTTGATCAGTTCTATCAGAAAGAGTTTAGATTTCATCCTGCAGAATTAGAAAACCAAAGACATTTTTCAAACAGAGGCATGATAACCTGGAATAGGGAGAGACTGGGATAGAAAAACAGTTAGGAAGCTGACTAGAATTTGCAGGAGAGAAGGAAAGAGGTACTTATCTAAGTCCGTTCAGAAGTCCAGCTGACACTGGGCACTGAGGGGTGCTGAACCCCCTCCGTGGCTCTTTCCATAGCTGATTTCATTGAATGCTCATAAGAAACGCTGGAGAAGCTCTCTCTCTCTCTTGGTTTTATAGTTGAGGAAACAGGAATGGAGGGTTAGGGCATTTTCTCACCGTCACACATCTAATAAGTCTCAGTGCCAGTGTTTCCTCCCAGGCCAGGTGACTCCAGAGCCTGTGCTATTAATCATGATACTAGATGACTAACTACCCAGAGACACTAGGGGCTGAGTCCTTAGGCTTTGTTACGGCTGGCATGTTGCTTCCCTGAAATAACACTAGCACCATTCTCTGCTCCCCGTAATTTCCCTTTTGTTTCCTTTAATGGCTCCTCTCAGCTACGAGCTGGTTTCTGCTCTTTCTTTTCTAAACACCTAATTATTCTTTTGGAGTTTGTTTTCCCTAATGGCGTCATCTATCAACCTTTATGTTGATTTGACCCAAATCTCCTATTTCCAGTCTCAATTTCTCAACCACACTCCTAAAGGTCATCACCTAAAACCCGTGTTTAAAATTAAACTCATATTTTACTTCGGTTTCTCTAGGCGCTTTCTATTAATAGCAAAGCAGACCGGTCATCTGGGCTTCGGGAGAGAATATTTGACCCTCAAATTCCTTCACCTTTCACACCTATCATGCAAGCAGTCCAATCCATTCTTTGCCATTGACTCATCTCTCCCCCTTTCATAATCTTTGCTCCCATCCTAGTAGTAGCTCTTCATGTCCCTTGCCTAAATAGTGACATTTGTTTCTTCAGTTGTCCCCCAGCATTTTAATTTTCCGTACAATCCACCCTGCATACTAATGCCAGAAAGAAAAAAAAAACCCTCTTACACACTGATTTCATAATTTGCTTGCCTTATTGGAGAACTTCTGATTGCTCTCTATCACCTAATAAATCAAGATTACTGAGTCAACTCTAATCCATCCTCTGCCTAAATCTGAAGACCCTGCATTGCCCAGTTTCTCTTATTTTATCAAATGCCAGCGCCTCTGGAATTGGAACTTTCCACTCTAGTCAATTATCTTGTTTCTATCATCTTTTCCCCCAGCACGCCCTGTAGGTACACATGCACACCTTCCCATCTGAGCTGTTAGTTGCTGTGTTTCCCTGGCTTACCATGCTGTTTTCCTTGGTTCCAGCGCCACATCCCAAGTCACTCTTTCCCTCTTGGCTCCAAAACAAAGTTGTATCTCCCTCTTCCAACCTCTTCTGCTTACTGCCATTGCCAAAGTACCTGCCAGAATCACCTCCAGAAGCTCCTGTTAAACGCTATAACACTTCACGATGTTAATATGTAAAGCTGTGCTATTTACTACTAATTCAGGAGACATCTTATTCTCCCCAGTTATGAGCTCTGATGTTCCGCTTTAAATGATGTCTTCTACTTTTTTATATTCATAATGCTTAATATAGTCCTGGTATTGGTTGAAACTATAAACACATGCATTTTTTTTTATACTGTGTCTACCCCTGTAAACTTAGCCATTTACCTGAATAGTAATAAAATTGTTTCTGTTCTCTTTTTCTAAGTTTCCTCAACAGAAGTGAAAATGCAAATATTCTCAGGTGTTTAGGACATTCTTTGCATATTCAAGCTATACTAACGTTATGCCTTTTAGGGTAATATTTTTAATTATTCTGGAGGAAGAAAAGAAAGCCCCCGGAGGCTAACAGTTTGAAATTGAGCAGGACACTTGTTGGGGAGGGGGAGGAGGGTCAGGGGTCATCCTCAAACAGACAAAAAACAATGGAGACTATTGTGCCTGAAGATGGTGTATTTTTTTTTTTTTTTCAGAGACAGTGTGTTGACAGCTTCCTTCCTCTCGGGTCATTGTTGTCTGATAAATGATCTGTGACAGCAAATTGATCACAAGCTTTTTCATGCAGGAGATATAATGCAGTCTTTCATTTTGTTGCCTCCGTTGCCAAATGCAGAAACATTTCTTTGGGAAATTAATGTTAGTTTAGTATAGCATTTAGTAGCAGAAAGCACCGCCCTGTATTCTGGAAGCAATAATAGCAGTGATTCATTTATCTTCAACAAGTTTCAGATTCCTACCTAGGTGTGACTGCAACAGCAATAACATGTTTGAAAAACGTTAGTCTTTAAAATGAGGTGTCTGCAATTATCATTTAAAGAAATGAATGGGTTAACACATTTAGATATTGCCCCACTCGTTTCAAAATTTAGTCAAATATTTACTTTAAGGCACCTATAAAAAATCAATGCTAAGTAGACCTGTTCTAAAGGAAAAGTTGCTTCTTTCTCCAAAAAGCTAGGAACCTAAAATGGAACACAGGCATAAGGCCTTGTAGGTTTGATGCTCAACCATCTCAGCCAGTCAGGTAGTGAGCTCACATGTCTGAAGAATATTCCAAAGTAATGTTTTGTGTGTAGAATGATGAGAATCTCTGCCCTCAAGAAATCTGTAGGAAAAATTTTTTAAAAATGGAAAACCAGTTATTTAAGAGACTATTTCGCAGTTGCTGCTTAGTTCTTTATAGCAACCATTGCTTTCCAATTAGGACAGGAATATCAATCTGGGGAAGTAAAGCCACAGGCAGGAACTCCAGAAAATAGTTGCAGGTTCTGCTTTGATAATAGCCAAATTCTGTGTCAAAATTAAACTAATCTCAATGCTGGTGTTTCATTTCTCCTCATAATAAAATAGAAATAAAGGTGATTTGACTAACATTTGGCATAGTAATATAAGACAAGTATTTATTGAAGAAAGACAATGTACGGGTATGATCCTTTCCTCGAAGTTCTTGTTTAGTTAGCCGTAAAAGGCAGATAACTTACACCTGCTGTTGTTTGTTTTCTTTATATACTACCCATATGGATGCACATTTATATCTATTATTAAAAAATGATTTGGATGGGTTTTCATTTTTGTGATTTGTATGTATGAGTGGAGCAATTAATATGTCAGGTGTGTTAGAAACTGCAAATCAGTATGTCTTGTGACAAGATATTGTTATCTAAAGCAGTCCACTCTGATAAAATAATTTTAAAAAGCAAACTTGCAAACTACTCATTGTCTGATTTTAATTTATGTTTTCAGAGCAATTAAAATTTCATTTGACGATTACCACAAGACCTGGTCTGAAATAGCTACGTCCAAAGCTGCCGAGTGTTTCAGAACCCCAAGTAAGCCGGTCTCGTCCCATCCTGTGTCCTTGTGATGTATGTTCATCTCGCAGTTATCCTCAGCTTGTCTTGCTTTTAAAGACTAGCTGACATGTATTTGCAATTTGAAGGTGATAAACTTCTCTGTTTGTCCTACATACTAATCATCAACTTAATTTAGTTCCTCTTTTTGTTTAGCATCTTGGACTGGCATCTGATTAAAAGCCAGAAGGAAAGACAGGCAATTGGAGGAATAAAAGATGACAGTTTCTATCTTAAGAGGTTTACTTTACTCCCCTCAAACCAGAAAGAAGCCTTCATAGCAGAAGGAATCTTTTTTTTTTATCCTATACACTATAAATCTTCAAACCCAGAGAACATATTAAGTAGAAAGACGCGCGCTCGCGCACACACACACACACACACACACAAACACACACACACACACACACCCATATAAAACTAGGGCTTTCAATTATATCAATCTAAAGCCATCATACATTAGGAATTAAAAAGACAGGGGACACCTGGACAACTTTGGAGTTCCATTTAATCAAATCTTTAGAGTATTATTTTTTTTTTATAAAAATATATTTTATTGATTTTTTACAGAGAGGAAGGGAGAGAGATAGAGAGCTAGAAACGTCGATGAGAGAGAAACACCGACCAGCTGCCTCTTGCACATCACCTACCGGGGATGTGCCCACAACCAATGTACATGCCCTTGACCGGAATCGAACCTGGGACCTTTCAGTCCACAGACCGACGCTCTACCACTGAGCCAAACCGGCTTCGGCAAATCTTTAGAGTATTATTTAATTAGTTGGGTCAAGGCAGGTTATTCAGTCGATACACACTTAGTGAAATATGATTTTGCTTCAGCTATTCTGCTGAATGGTACATTCTAAAATTGCCAGTGACTTCCCAATTCCCAGATTCAGTGATTATAATACTTTTCAGTCTTTATCTTGTACTTTCACCAGCTATTCTGTATTTGCATTAGATAACACTGTATATTCTATATAATAAAGAGGTAATATGCAAGTTGACTGTCATGCCCTCAGACAAGATGGCCGCCCCCATGTGGTCACAAGATGTCCAACAGGGGAGTGCAGTAGTGGGCGACTGGGCTGGCAGGGGAGGGCAATTGGAGGCGATTGGGCAGGCAGGGGAGTGGTTAGGGGGTAATCGGGCTGGCAGGCAGAAGCAGTTAGGGGCAATCAGGCAGGCAAGTGGTTGGGGGCCAGCAGTCCTGGATTGAGAGGGTGCAGTCTGAGCTGAGTGACACCTCCCTCCCACAGTGCACAAATATATATGTGTGTGTGTGTGTGTGTGTGTGTGTGTGTGTACACAGACACACACATTTATATGTATATACACACATGTGTGTGTGTGAAAGAGCAAGAGAGAGAAATATATATATATATATATATATATATATATATATCCATGTTTTCCTCTTCTCTTAGTGATCCTCTGCCTCTTTCCTTAAAAAAAACTCTGTTATTCAGCCCACTCAACACACTTTCTCTAAGAGACCTCATCCACCACTCTGGTCTTCATTAGCCTGTCTTCCTATAATCCCTAAAGCCTCATCACTAGTCAGGTCCTCTCCTGGATTCTGCATGCATGTTTACAACTGAGCATGAACATCTCACATACAGGTGTTCAGGCATCTTACAATTAAGATGTCCTGAAGTGAATTCATTTCCTTTCCCTAAAACCTTACTCTTTATTACCTCTCTAGATTAGTGTAGGTCACCATTATTACATTTACTAGTACTTGCCTGAACCAGAATTACAGAAGTTTCCTAGACCTCTTTATCACCCTCATTAAATCTTGTTGATTTTATCTCCTATAACATCATGAACGTTTTCCCTCTATTTCACATCGCCATATAACCACTGCCTTCATTTGTGGTCTCATCAACTTTCACTTCATCATTTTGATGATCTCATAATTGGTTTCAATAGAACAAAATGTTGCACAGTAAAAAATTTCTAGTTTTAAGGCACAAATTATAGCCAAAAGGTAGCACTCAGCTTAACATAGATAAAAAACATAAGTTGGATCTTTCAAGATATTGGCTAATAATTATTTTGTGAATAAACATTGCCTTCCTCACTCACTCATGGATTAATGATTAAGAAACATAACTTAAGGTGCTTGAAAAGACACAGTCTTACTCTGGAGGGCTGGCTTAGTTGGTTTAGCATTGTCCTGTGCACCAAAAGGTCACTAGTTCAAGTCCTAGTCAGGGCACCACTTGTCCAGGTTGACCATAAGTTGTTTCTCTCACATCAAAGTTCCTCTCTCTCTTCTCCTCATCCTTCCTCTTTCTTTCTCCTTCTCCTTATCCTTCTTCTTTCTTTCTCAAATCAATAAACACACACACACACACACATATATATATATATAGAGAGAGAGAGAGAGAAAGAGAGAGACAAAGAGAGAGAGAGAGAGAGAGAGAGAGAGAGAGAGAGAGAGAGAGAGAGAGACTCTGTCTCTATCCATATAAAGAATTTTATTATTTTTGAAACCAGGGTATGTGAATGTTTACTTCATTTCAGAAATTAGTGGTTGGTTGCTGTTCAGACAATTCAACAAACATATCTTGAGTGCCTACTATGTGTGAGGCACTGAGGAGCTCAGGTGCATTCCAGGAAGCAGAAACCCTTAACAAACACTGTCAAGAGGCAGTTGGCACATTGAAGGAATGACTCAGCATCCACCTCCTTCAACCAAAAACCAAACCAATTGATAGAGAATGGTGTTTTATGGGATAACACGTAAAGATGGGGAGGCATTTGGAGACTCCAAACTGCTAGGGGGGAAAATGAAGCCTATGCCAAAACTTAACAAAATTTGGAAATTATTATGCTGCACTAATGAACAATTTAAAATGGAAGGATAATGAAACGCCACTGACTGCAGTTCCTTTTTCAAAAGAGCTGATACAACATTTCTAACATGGTTTTCTTTCTGTGTCACTAACCTGTCCTGTAATTCACCCTCTTTGAGAAGGCAATAGCTGATCATGATTACCTCTAGCCCAGAAGAATTTCTGAGACTTTGATTCCAGCCCTTGGTGCAATATTTCTTCATCACCCTGACTCTTCTTCCCCCAGGGATTTGTTATAAGAATGTTTCAAGAGCTTTCTTTTTAATAATAACCTGCACTTAATTTAAAAAAAATAAATGTAAATATTACATTTGCTGCTGGCCATTTTGTCTTCAGATAATTCAGCTGGATGAGATCCAGTACTACTTTTTTTTATCAGCCAAATTTCCTGGCAATAATAAAAATGAAGCTTTTAGATTATAGAATGTGTCTTCAACTACTCAGAAATAAAAGGGAAACTTCTAATAACTTCATTTTCTGCAGTTACAATCTTTTCACTGGAGATATTATTAAGCTCTTGTGCATATTTTTAAAAGCTTTTTATTTTACGAATAGTGATGAGTGGTTATATTGGGGTAATAACTCTTTTCCACTTCTTTGTGCCACAAATCTATCAATAGTCATGTGTGCCATAATAATAGTACATTTATTCTTGTCTAGCATGGTTTTCAGAGTGTACTCTGTATTATGTTTTTTAATCACCCCAATGTTATTCTTTTATTTGTTTACCAACAAATATTTATTAAGCATCTAACAAGTGTTATGCACAGTGGTATATCAACCCAATGAGCTAGGCATTATTTTTTAAAATATTTTTGTTGATTTTTTACAGAGAGGAAGGGAGAGGGATAGAGAGCTAGAAACATCGATGAGAGAGAAACATCGACCAGCTGCCTCCTGCACACCTCCAACTGGGGATGTGCCCACAACCAATGTACATGCCCTTGACTGGAATTGAACCCCGGACCTTTCAGTCCGCAGACCGACACTCTATCCACTGAGCCAAACCGGTTTCAGCTAGGCATTATTTTTATAACTCTGTTTTACAAGTGAGAAAACTAAGACCAAGGCAAGCTAAGTAATTTACCTAAGGTCACACGTGTAAGAGGTAATATCATTTATTGGTAAAGAGTATAAATTCTGGAGCCAGATAGTTGAGGGTTAATCCTGGCTCTGCCATTTACTAGCTGAGTGGCATTGGGTAAATTTCTTAACCGCTCTGTGTCCCAATTCCTCTGTCTGTAAGATAAGAATGACTACAGCACACACCTCATAGGCTGAAGCACTTATAGCTGCACCTAGCACATGAGTGTTCAATAAGTGTGGTTATTATTAATTAGTACAAATAGACTGTGGCCCAAGGACTTGAACCAGATCCTCTGACTCCACAGTTATTGCTTCTTGTCATACTATACTGCCTTTATATTATGACATAAAGTGTTTATTTCTTTATAGCCTGAGATTTATTTTTAGTTGAATTTATTGGGGTTACATTTGTTAATAATATTATATAGGCTTAAGGGGTTCAATTCTATATGGCCTGAGGTTTAAATTCAAACTCTTAAAAATATGCAGTACGTGTTTTAATAATTATAATTATTAGTCCATAATCATAGGCAATCATATGGGAAAACGCATGAATGATCCACCGTTCTCTGTCCATCACTAGAGAATGGCAAATTAAAAGCTTGGCAGAGAACAAACCACTACATCTGGTTGTGGGCAAGAGCACCTTAACGACAGAATATGATCCCCATAAGGAAATGTTTATGTTTGAGGAAAAGAATTCCTTCAGACCAGTGTACCCTGTAATATTGAGCGGGGGCTTCCTGATGTTTGCTGTCATCAAGACAGACCAAACAGCCTGAAGCATCCTGGGGATGCTTGCTTTCACCCTAGGAGACTTTCATTCTTTGAGTCTTTGAGCCAGAAACAAGGGCAAGTGTCTCTGAACTGCGTTTAGTCCTGAGAGGCAGTATCATCTAATCCTCATGCCTGGTTCTAAGCCTTGACTGCTCATTAGAACCGCAGAGGAGCTTGTAAAAATTCCCATGGAAAGGGCACACCCCCAGACCAATTACATCAAGAGCTCTGGGAACGAGACCAGGCAGCAATAGCTTTTAAAGCTCCCCAGGTGATTACAATGTGCAGCCAAGGTTAGAAAGGCTCTGGCAGGGAGAGCACGATGCCAGAAGTTCGAGACTCCTTAGCCCTGTACCAGTTTGCCACATACAGTAAAGTGAATTTAGGTTCGTCACTTAATGCTTTGTACCTCTTTTTTTTTTTTTTTCCATGTCTATTCATTGACAGCATTTTATTTCAAGTTGCTCTATGGTTAGTATGAGATAATATGTGTGAAAATAAAACCTGCTAAGGCAAGTTGGTGCTATTATATTTCTTTGGACATTGGCAGTCCAGTAGTAGAATTTTTTTTTTTTTTTTTTTTTTAAGATCAGCCTATACAGATGTTGGAAAAAAGGTGTGTCATAGCAAAAATGAAGTAGAAACAATAGCTGATAAACCTTAGGAGGGAAGGAAGAAATATTATGCAGGCAGTAGAAATTGATTTTCTATCACAAACCACAAAGGCCAAGATACGGTAATGATGGGGGAATTTCAATTTCAAGAACTTCTGATAGAATCTTACTGCTCCTTTCTTCTTGATCTCTCTCTTGTGCTCCTGAGCTCTTTCTTTTTCTCCTGTCCTCATTCCTCCATTTTTTCCCCTCTAATCAACATGATTATTGAACATCTTCTATCTCAAGGCAATGGACTGTGTGTTGGAGACAAGAAGTAAGTATTATGGTAAGCTTACTGAGGAGTTTACAGACAGGTGGTCAGAGACAGATAAGTGAAAAAAAATTATAGGGATAAAATAGGCATATTAAACATTTGTACAAATACTGGGACTTTAAAAAAATCTCTCAGCAGAGAAAACAATGAATAAAATAAATCAATTATGTCAAATTAATGGGAATAGTCAGGAAAGATGACCATGCCATTTGGGGTTTTATAATATATAAGAAAGAGACTGCTGTACATATTCAAATAGGAAATGTAGAAAAGGGAATTTCAAAAAAATTAAGGGAATATATAAATTACTCTTGATTAGAATTTTAAATTTTGTCTAAGTAATACATAATCACAATGAAAAGACTTAATCTTTGTATGTTCATCTGTAAAGTGGGTATTATAATGGTAACCACTGCATTCATACTTTACAAGTGCCCAATATTTAGTAAGAACTCTATTAATATTAGTTATTATAATCATCTGGAGGAAACAATGAGACCTCACTGAGAATTCTTGGGAGCTCAGATTTCCTTCTTTAATGGAAGAGAGGAGTATATATCCAGATACCAATAAAAATAATATTAATAAAACCTCTAAGAATACATATATATATAATAAATACATATGCTTATGTATTATTAAAGCAAGAAAAGAATTTTTTAATATTTTTATTGCTTTCAGAGAGAAAGAGAGAAGAGCGAGAGAAACATCAATCATGAAAATCATTGATCAGCTGCCTCCACATGCCCCATACTGGATGGAGTCCGCAACTGTGGCATGTGCCCTTGGCCAGAATGGAACCTAGGACCCTGCAGTTCTAAGGCCAACACTCTATCCACTGAGCTAAACTGGCTAGGACACAAGGAAAGAAATTAAAATATAGATAGGAACATTGCTAGTGAAAATCATATAATATTAATAAAAGGAAATTACTCAATTTAAATGTTGTTTTTATCAGTGACAAATTTCATCGGACAAGAAGGGGGTAATCAATCATTGGTAAGAACTAAGTTCCAGATATTGGCAAGATTGGTGAAGACATCTAGTTGGTTAAATAGTTCATGACTATAAAGCTAGGACAATTAAAAGAAACAGAGAGATGATAGACTGACAGACAGATAGACAAATAGATATGGTATACATGTGTATTTGATCTGGATCTAATTGTATTTTATGTAAAATCTACCAGTGCCTTAACATAATAGATGTCAGTAAATTTTATGTGAATTTGAAGGCATAAGTTTTATAATTAACCACAAAGATATGATCAAGTGGTGTAATGTGATTTCCACAAAATACTAATGCAGATCCCAGGTATAGCACACAGATCGAGGGAAGTAGTAAGTCACTTGCATCTTTGTTATTCAAATGAAACTAAGATCCTGGTCCTGGATGCAAATTTTAATAGGAGCATCAACAAATGTCATTGCCAGGACAGTGAGGACGGTTGGGTCGCTGGAAAATCATGTCCTAGAAATAGTTGTGGGAACTGAAGCTTCCCTGAGAGCTGTCTTCAAATATTAGAAGGGCTCTCTCCCACGGGGGAGGAATGAGCTTACCATGACAGCTCCGGAGGTCAGACCCCCAGACGATGAAGGAAGGACCCTGTGACTTTCTGTCTGTCAATGGGAAGGCAGCTCCTCAGCTACCAAGAGGAGAGTTGTTTGTTGTTAGCAAAGGATTCATTTACAGGCTGTATGGTCATCTGTTGCAGAGTCTTTGGGAAAGATCAAGATCTTTAAAGTCACTTTGAATGCCAAGTTTTACTTTGCTACTTGAAGTGCTAATTAGAATTTTGTTAAACTATGGTGTCTATAGTTTCTATAGGAGTATTTTAACACCTTCTTCATCTCTATAAATGATACATAAACAAATGTCATTACAATGAAAAGTTTTTAAGTCACAATCTACTTATTTCAAACAATATCCAATATTACCAAAGGAAAAAATATGGAAAGTGTCTGAGCATTATCACAGGATTTGTAGTATATTGTCTACATCATTGCCACATATCAACTTAATGAGAAGTGAATTATTTTAAACTTTGAACTATCATTAAAGAATGCATATATAGCTTCATTTTATATTCTAATTTCAGTGCTCCAGAATCCAGCTTTCCTTGGACACCATCATAAATGGAAGAAAATGGAGCGAAAACATCAGAAAGAATGGAATTTAAAGTAAGTAACCTTAAGTGTCTGGAATATATTATCCTATTAACTTGAAAAAGATCAACGATTCCACTTTCTACTATCTAACTGAACCATCAGAAGAAACCCTTTGGAAAGAACTGATTTTTTCCCCCCTAAACATAACAAAAATAAGAAATATTATCATGTTTTCCCTTTCATATGAATCCAGGTGGGAAACATCTTTGCTACCTTTTGGTTGCCAAAAATGGATAAAGGACATGAGGTAGAAATAGGAATAGGGAAAGAAAATACCCTTAACTTGTTTATATATCATCAAATAGCTTTTCATCCTTCTCAGAGTTCCAAATATGTTTCCTCTCCCACAGATTTCTCACTCAGAAACCGAATATATGACATCTAATGAGAAAGTATGTGGTAAAGTACAGATATAAAGTACAATTGTATCTTCAGAAATCAGACTCTTAAGGAAGGAATCCCAGTCTCATCTTGGGCTCTTGACTTCCAAAGGCTGTTTTGTTTTTTTTTGTTGTTGTTTGTTTGTTTGTTTGTTTTTTGCTTCATGATGCAAGAGCAAAGACTTCGTCTCCACTCTGTGGTGTGGGTTTGGTCGTAGTATTATTTATCCTGGTGGCTTACTTCAAAGTACTGAGTGTGCTACCACAAAGCTAGGGGGATTAATCCCCCCCCCCCTTTTTTGGCATTGACCTCATTTACCTCATTTTTTAAAAATCTTTGACTTATTAGCATCTGACCTCTTTTCTAGATGGAAATGAATGTGCTGTATTTTGGATTTGTGTAGGAATCGAGGCTCTTAAAATATACTTTCCTGCCCTTTAGCATCAGACATCAGATTGGGTTTTCAGTCTAGATATTCTTTTTCCAGTTGATTCTGGCAACAACTCCTCTTTAAGCCAAAGTGGAGAAAAGCTCTTCCATTAGATGCCTTTCTGTTTTCAGAACAAATTATAGGTAGTAGAGAACTTTTATTAAACAGAATTTGAAATACATGCATGGTTTTTTTTCCTTGAAGTCATGTTTTAAGTTTCATTTAAGAGTTAAAGAAACATACTTAGAACATAAAGTTAATTTTGCTTTGACGTGACTTCCTTTTCTATTTCCTTTAGGAGAACTGCTTTGTTTTATTTGTTTGATCATATATTCATTATGTAATGCCAGCATCCCACAAAACCCCCAAATTTAGAAAAAGTAGGACCATGTCATTTTCAACTTATCCATCCACTTCTACATATGGCTGAAATAATTGCAAGCTGTTTGAGTGCTAGAACATTTTTCCAAATACATTATTTTGAAGTTATAGGTCACATTATCATATGCGTGGTGACCTTGTCAGAATGAAACACTCACACCTTATGCCATCTGGTGGTTGATGAGAATATATTTATATCGGATAATACTTGCTTCTTTTCAATATTAGAATTGATTAGCTAAAAACAAAACAAAACACTAAATAAAGTTTTTAAAAGATATTGCACTTATCTGTATAATTTTATTGTGACATAATATTTGAGTATGCAAAAATATGAAGTACCATATTTTCTGGTGTCTAAGACAAACCCCTAATTTTACAGTTAAAACATAGGTTTAGGCCTATATTTGCTGTATAAAGTCTTCAAAGAAAAGACTTATTTTGCCGTCAAAATCTGCAGGTAATTTTTGTGCAATTTTGGTCTTTTGCCCCCGATTTTTGGTTGACTTTTTTTCGTTTCAAAAGTCGTCTTATATGCCGGAAAATACGGTATGGAGGAAGACTTTTTTCAAATAATTATTAAAAGTTTCATATTTGCTGAAACCAGTTTTGCTCAGTGGATAGAGCGTCAGCCTGGGGACTGAAGGGTTCAATTCCAGTCAAGGGCATGTACCTTGGTTGTGGGCACATCCCCTGTGGGAGGTGTGTAGGAGGTGGCTGATCAATGTTTCTCTCATGGATGTTTCTAGCTCTCTATCCCTCTCTCCCTTCCTCTCTGTAAAAAATCAATAAAATATATATTTTTTAAAGTCTCATATTCATCAAAATATATGAGGTATAATGAAGTGGTAGATGGATAGAGACAAGTAGAAAATGTTTGGGGATCTATGCAAGTGAGCAATTGGTCTTCATGCCCATGCAATATCACACCACTATGCATCTTTCTGTTTCTCTGTTTGAAAATGCCTTTCTTACACTGAAATTTTCTATTAAAAACAAAACCAAAAAAAAAAATGCAAATTGAGAATCTTTCAACTGTATAGCATTAAGGGAAAAGAGAGACTTATCTTTCCTGCTTCATATCCCTCCTCCCACTGTCCTCCCATCCCCTCATCAATCAAGATCCAATTCTTCAGCCACACTAAATTCTTTTCTATTCTTGGGGACATAAGATCTTTTCACCTCTTTGTGCCTTCTGCCTGGGCTATCTTGCCCAGTAGGGTCCTTGCTGGTGGTCTAGAGTTAGGATTGGTCTGAGTGAAAATGTGGAATGTGGAATGCTTACGTACAGGGGTACTGGAGCCAGGCTGCCTATACCGGATCCTGGCTCTGCCAGTTATCCACTCTGTGACCTTGGGCAAGTTATCTGAATTCTTTATACCGTAGTTTCATTCTCTGTTAAAGGGCATTAATTCCTGTACCTACACCTCTTTGCAGTTGTGAGAATTAAATAAACTAACATGTACAATGCTTCAAATTGTATCCGGAACAAAATAAGTTCTCCTGAGGTTCTCTATTACTCATGCTCTTCCTACTGTGGCTCTAGTTCAAGTTTCTGATGGAAAATATTGTATTTGGAGGCGGCATGGGGAAAGGGCATGAGCTTTAGAGACAGACAGATTTTAGGGAAAGTCTTACCCACAGTTGAGTTTGTTTCCTTGCCTATTAAATATAGACAATATGGCCAAAGTTGTCTTGCATTTGGTCTCTTGAATGAAATCATATATATAAAATTATATACTGTTGACATATAGACAGTCAACAAATATTAGTCTCTTGGGAGCAGGGAGAGATAAAAGCCCATGCCCACCAACTTTTCAAATATAAATAATCTGTCAGAAACATGTGAAAAGTTTTACAATTTTCTCGTTAGGAAAGTAATACCTATCATGACTACATTTATTTTAGTCCCATTATATGCATATTTTTCCTCCCCCTTTCCACTTCACCTCTACCGTCTCTTCTGCCTGGCAAATGATTTCACAAGGATGGTGTGAAGATACAGCTGAGTTGTCTCTTTGTGAGAGGGTCCCTGTCATCCTCTCCTTGCAAAGCACTTTCTCCCTTGCTCTTTCAGCCCCCGTGCATGGGATTTCATCTCTTCACAAAGAGTGACCAGAGCAGGGCCATTCTTGTAGTTTAGCATTGTACCTGCCCAACTAGCAGGCACTCATGTAGTGTTTGTAGAATGATGCACACTTAATGTGTACCTTGTTTTCCCACTTAATAGGATTAAATGTGAGGACAGTTAATTTTCAGAGAAATAAAATGTGGGTACCATCTTCTATTAAGGCCCATTATAATGTAGAGATTATAGTTCTATTTAGAGAATTGTAAGGATGTAGTCATAGAAAGTGATTGAAAACTGGAAATATAAATGACTGTCATAAATATTTTATGCAAATTCTTAAGTCCCATCTATGTTTTTAGTTAGTATTATTAGGTATCTATTGTCATTATAAGCAGCTCATAAATAATTATGAATTTATCATTTGGTTTAGTGTTCATTTCTAAGGCTTTTTTTTCTTTCCCATTGTCTTGCCTGCCTTTTGGCTATTTGTACAAGTGCTTTATTTCAACCAAGACCTAGGAAAAATATGAATCTAGAATCTAATCAGTAGTTTGCATATATTTTCTCTGTAGAAAGACTGAAAGATACAAAATCAGAAAGCAGTGCAAGCTATTTTTTAAATTTTCTTACTTATGCACATATAAAACTATTTTATGTCATGATCTATAGTTAATGATTGCTTATGAGGTAATGGAAAGATCTATGCCAGTAGACTAAGATTTGTCAGGCAGAAAGTAATCTATATAAAAGTTACCAATTCTGGAGAAGTTTTATATTCTATGTAGCTCTAGAAAAGGGTATTGCTCTTGTCTATTAAAAGAAAGTGCAGGAACTAACATGGCAAAGCACCTACTGTGTTCCAGACATTCTTCCTTTGTTTCCTAACGTAATACTGGCCATGCTGTTGTGGAGCTGCCCTCTAAGTGTACACACACTTCTCTAAGTGTAACCCCCAATCATACCCATCAGCCTTCTTCACAGCCAACTAAGTCGTCAACCTACACTCCAAGTCAAAGCATTTTCCTTGTTTTACGGTCACAGCTTTAAGACAAGAGTCTTAGCCCCCCTTTCTGGAAAAGCAGAGATGGCTAGTATATGCGGTTTACTAATGAGGGAAACATGAGGTACAAAAAGACTAATCAGCTTGCCTGAACTTATAGATAAGCACATATTGTGTTTACAAATGAAAACTAGATCATTTCCAATCTGCCTATTAATATGTGCTTATTCATTTTCAGGTAACTGTAAAAATATTGCCTACCCATTGCAAGCACAAATTGAGTCTACCTCCTATAAAAAAAGTTTGCGGGGGTTTTGTTTTGTTTGGAGTCAATCTCAACATCTATTAATAAACAGTGTTACTTACTTCCTTTCTCCTATATATAAAAAATTAACATGTGCTATAACAAACACCAGCATAAAACTTTCTTGTATTTATAGAACATACTCTGGATTTAATTTTACTATTTTTCAATAAGAATTTAATGTCTGTTATTTCTAAATTCCTGCAGTATGTGATTCTGTGTGTGTTTTAACTCACAAAAGTATATGGTCTTACTTTAGCATAACTATGTTTGATTCTCTTTTCTCCAGTTATACAGAAAACATTTATGCTGGGTACATTAATTTAGTGGGTGTCTGTGCTATTCTTTCAGAGTTATTGAGGTTAAACATTTTTTTATAGGGTTATATAAGTATATGTTTAATGCATTTTAAAGAGGAATGCTCGCTTTTTTTATTCCCCAAACCTTGA